AAATGGCAGATGTTACTTGAGCTCCAGGCACCATGTGTAGTAGTATTAAAGATTAAAGGAACAGATCAAATTATTGGAGGTTATAATCCAGTCGGATGGAAAGGACGTGACATTTGGGAATATACAGAGGATAGTTTTCTGTTTTCTCTTGGTAATGGAAAAAGTGTAAAAAGTGTTATATTGAGTAGAGTAAAAAATAGTTATGCAAATAGAGCGATATTTCATGGTAAATTATACGGACCAGTATTTGGATCAAGTGATTTAGAGATGAAAGAAAAGTTTAACAAAGATTACAATTGTTGGTCGCAAGCTAGTTCTTATGAGTATATAATTACAAGTGAAAGCAGATTTTGTGTGGATGATTATGAAGTTTTTCAAATTATTAAAAAAGAGGAAAATTATTAATAAGGAGAATTGCCAAAAAAGAGGGAGCTTTTGTCATTCACAGAAATCCTGTGTACAATTATTGATGCATCTAGTTGATAATCGTGATCATTAATTGGTGTCATGAACATTTCTTTACTCAAACAATTAATTAATTATATTAACTTCGTAATTATGTATTTTATGCTAATCATAGTATTACTGTATTTATAAGTAATATTTTTATTTATTTATATTCATATTTAAAAGTCATAATATGTATCTACCTGTTTTTTGTTATGTAAAAAATGATCCTCAGTGCTATCAATTCTGGTATTTTCACTTTTTAATAAATATTTCTAGACTTTATTTGATTTCTAATTCAAATAGTATACATATATAGCTAAAATTGACTTAAATACAACAGAATTGAATTTTTGTCACTCATCTTTAACATTAAAAGAAAAAAAAGAAAATTCTGTGCCAGGTTTTGTCACATATATACGATTCTAAATTTTTTTTACATTTTGAAGATATCTCGACAACCGCCTGACCAAATTTAATAAAATTTTTTTATTTGCATTCTAAGAATCCATATAATTCAAATAAAAAAATTTTTATCGAGTTTGATCAGGTAGTTGTCGAGATATTTTCGTTTAAAGTTTGGTGCATCTTTAATTTTGATAGGTGTTTTGATTTTTTCTAACTTTGAGCGAAGATATCTTGATAACCACCTGGCCAAATTTGATGAAAATTTTTATTTGAATTCTATAGAATTCAAATAAAAAGGTTTATTTAATTTTGGCAGATGGTTGTTGAGATATCTTTGCTAAAGTTTAAAAAGACTTTTATTAAAACGCACCTATGGTGTTTTACACCTATGTATATATTATCTCGAAAACTGGCTAATTGATCAGTGCAAGATGTTCTAAGTAAAAATGCTCTATGCTCTATGCTCCTAAATACCCTTCCCAAACTCTAACCCAACCCTAAATACTAACATTAACATGAAAATTCTGTGTTGAAAATCTTATATTCAAACTTAGAAAATCCAAAAAACATAATAAACATTTAATAGGTGCGTTTTATAATAAATGTTAAAGAAAATTTGGCGCAGCAATTATTTTAATAGACATTTTGATTTATTCTATGATTCTTAGAATTTAAATAAAAAAATTTTCATTGAATTTGGTCAGATTGTTGTCGCTCAAAGTTAGAGAAAAATCAAAAACGCCTATCAAAATAAAATGTTGCGCCA